TGACCTTGATGGAGTTGTGTTGCTGTGTGCGATGCATTTGGGTTTAGTGCCATGCTTTAAATGTCAGGCCTTGCTTTTGAGGAGAGAGGCTTGTTTGTGGTACTACAGGCACGACTATTATAAGGCTGGTAGCACAAAGATAAGAAAAATTATTCCCCCAAACTTTGCTGAACCTTTTTACAGGTTTGTTTAAAATAAAGTCACCCACTTTTCCAACACAATTCCAATACTTTTTCACCTTTCCAAATCCACGTTTGTTTAGAGGGCTAATCAGTATTTCGCAGTTCAGTGTTACGTTCAGAGCTGGTTCCTAATGGTCTCCTCCCCAACAAGCCAAATTACAACAGCAATAGCTAGTTATTTTAATGCTCTCTAGTGTTGACTTGGATTATAGCATGTTATTTCTTCAGCTGCTCCAGCTGTGTTAGCTAGCACTAAACCATTTCCATAGCACTTGCAAAATGTAAAATGCCACGAAAAAGCACTTATGTGGGTCATTAATTTTAAACATGTTAGAGGTCTCATTCATTTTTTAATTAGCTCAGCATCTTGCAAGATGAAACTGTGATCAGATCAAAAAGATGAAAATGATCAATAAAAAAAGGCCTTACCCAGGAATTTACTTAAATACTGCACCCGACACACCAGGCCCTTCTCTTTCCTCCCCCCAGCTCTAGCAGAGCTCTGGTATAGAGCTGTAGCTGGTGATCTAACTAGCTGGCTTGTACTCTCTTGCCATTTCTGGATCCCATCTCAAATAGGGAGAGATCCAATGGCCTGGTGCAGTTTGCCTGATGCAAAACATCATGAACCCAGTTTGCAGCCATGCTCACATTTCTGGCTAGGATTCAGCTAAATAGGGAAACAGAACTAACAGCCAGCAGACCATTCTTTGTCTGCAGTCAAGCTGCAGGGAGCAGGTTATAAGGCAGATGCATGCTTGACATTAACTAATAAAATACTTCTAGTGCAAAGGCACAAATCCCTGCAAAATCCTTGCCCTGTTAAATTAAGCAACGTTTCCCCTGCGGAATAAGTTATACCAGCGACAGCCACTATATGAGGTGTTTTGCCAGCAGAAACCACACTGATTACAAATCTTGCCCCTGCCAGTGTTGCTACAACATGAAGCTGGCATATCCAGAACATTTGCAAGCTTTCTTATGTGTGCTTAGTGTCTGACACCACCTGACCTACAAATGTGATTTGGCACAAGTTTGTTAACTTCCTTCATACAGAAAGTGATGCAGCTTAACCCCGACATTATTAAAAAAAAAAGAAAGAAAGAGGAAGAGAAGGTATGGGTGAAACAGCATGTAATATAAATGGGTTTCATTTCTTTTGGTCAGATTTTCACTCCTTCCACTTCCCCCTGAAACAAACCATTCATTTTCTTTCCCGGCTAGTAGTGCAAGAGTGCATCAAGCATGAAGAAGTGGTTAGCTTTTCCTGTCAGCATGTCAGTCTAAATTGCAGTACTTTTCTGGTTCAACTTCCTTGAAAGGCTACCGCATTGTGCTTTGCTGCATGTCCATGCTCAGCAGTTATAACCTGTTTTGCAAATGCTGTTTGTGCCCGAGTTTGGATCCATAAACTGCTGCTGCTTGAGCAGGTCGTGCCCCTCCTCTTGCCATCAAATGCAGCAGCAAGAGCAGACACTGTGAACTGTAGCACATTCCAACTAAACAGTTGCACAGAAATGCCAAATTCAGTAAGAGCTGAGCTGCCATTGCCTTGGCATGAGACTCCCCAGTCACGTAGCATTTTGCTTATTTTTGCAATCCAATCAGGCTAAAGCCTCAACAAACAGAAGGCAGAGGTGTGACACTAGCTGTGGGAGCTTTAAAGAGGGAATAACTGTTAATACGTCATTTGCTATGAAAAGATGATATTTGCTGTATGTTTTAACAAGTATTACGCTGTGCGGCAATTGACTTAATCACCTCTCCATATGTACCAGAAATATGCATTTGCAGGCTAGCAAGAAGCTTGCTAGAAGCACTTGCAGACCATCAATATGAGTAGGATGTCTATGCATGTATCATTTAATGGTTTGGGTGGGAAGGGGCCTTTAAACATCATCTAGTCCAACCCTCCTGCCATGTGCAGGGATATCTTCAACTAAATCAGGTTGCTCAGAGCCCCGTCCAACCTGACCTTGAATGTTTCCAGGCGTGGGGCATCTACCACCTCTCTGAGCAACCTGTTCCAGTGTTTCACCACCCTCATCATAAAAAATTTCTTCCTGATCTAAACCTACCCTCTTTCAGTTCAAAATCATTAACCCTTGTCCTGTCACTCCAGGCCCTGGTAAGAAGTATCCCTCTATCTTTCTTATAACTCCCCTTTATGTATTGAAAGGCTGCAATAAGGTCTCCCTGGAGCCTTCTCTTCTCCAGGCTGAACAACCCCAGCTTTCTCAGCCCTTCCTCATAGCAGAGGTGTTCCATCCCTCTGATCATTTTTGTGGCCCTCCTCTGGACCCGCTCCAACACGTCTGTGTCCTTCCTGTGCTGGGGACCCCAGAGCTGGACGCAGCACTCCAGGTGGGGTCTCACCAGAGCAGAGCAGAGGGGCAGAATCGCCTCCCTCGACCTGCTGGCCATGCTGCTTGTGATGCAGCCCAGGATGTGGTTGGTTTTCTGGGCTGTGAGAGCACATTGCTGGCTCTCACAGTACCCTTAAGTCCTTCTCCACAGGGCTGCTCTCAGTTCCTTCATCCCCCAGCCTGTATTGATACTGGGGGTTGCCCTGACTCAAGTGCAGGACCTTGCACTTGGCCTTGTTGAACCTCATGAAGTTCACATGGGCCCTCTCCTCAAGCCTGTCAAGGATTGTTTTCAAACATGCTTAGGCAACATAAAAATACTTTCTAAAGGCAACTTCAACACTTTAGCTAGTTACTAAGTAGTCAAGAAGTCTAGTTAGATTTGTAAGTCCTTTTTATTTAAGGATTCTGTGCTGTAGCAGCCTTTCTTGGTTAGCTTTTTTTTTTTTTTTTTTGCATGCAAGCCAGAATCATCAGCAAACCCAGCTTCAGCAACGTGCGTGGCAGAGCTGGGATACTGGTTTACAAACATACATAATGGCTTTTTTAGTCATTCTTATTCAGGATCTTTGTTAATGCTCTTAGCCATGAGGATAAACAGTTGCCTTCACCCCTCTCGTTTTTTCATCCTACGGGGTAGGAAGAAGTTGCTAACGTGCAAATGTTCTCCAGCATGCACCCACCCAACCACAGAGCAAAATGAAGTAAATAATCGCTGTGTTTGCTGAGCTGTTTTCCACGTACCTTTCCTTCTCTCCTAGCACATAATACTGCCCCTTGTAAAGCAGACTGGACAGTCTCTTTTGGCTACCTAAAAATAAACCACTATTGTGAAACAAAGTATCATGACACTGAAACAAATCCCAACTATGTAATAGATCTAAAAAACAGTCCCCCAGCCTGTGAAACAGGGAGCACAGAGGTATTTTTTTCTGCTGGCAAGGAGTGGATGTCCATAGTTTTAAGATGCATTTGGATTTTGCTGAAAACTAAACCCGGCCCTAATATGATATTAAAAAAAATGAGAACGTATCTGAATGTATCTTATAAACATTCATGGGGTTTTAGCCTTACAAACTATATATACACATATTTTTAGTGCTCGTGTACTTAGAAAGTGGCAAATACTTGAGAACAAAAATCTAGAGAGATGCTGGTAATGCAATATTTAATTATGCTTAAGTCCATTAAGGAACAGACACAAACAAACAAGACATCATGGTTAGAAAGAAGTTTCTCACTGTCACACTGTATATGCAAAGATTAGGTTTCTTATCACTAGTGCTGGACTGAAGACAGCTTTTATCCATTGCTGTACCTCTTGGCAGATTCCCATGGCAAATCTTACGTTAACCAAATTCCTGCTTAATTTAGTTTCCGTTTTCGTATACAGTCCTACTACCTACACGCTCATTTCTAAAACTGATTTCCTGTCATTTGGATTTAGCATCTTTTGAAGTAAAAGAATGCTACACAGAATGAAGTTAGCTATTGGGCTCTACACTGCAGCAATTTCAGTAGATGTGGACACAATGTAAAATATAAAAAAATCCAGACTTGGCAGGGATAAAGGGTATTTCCGAGTCCTAAACATGTCCATGAAGATTAACCATGTGCAAGAAAGCGCACGTTTGCAAACTGCATAACAAGATGATGGATACGCCTTTTTCAGAATATTTTCTGGAGAGCCATTCGACATTGATTTATTGTGAAATAAAATTTCACATTTTTTTGGTGAAATTAATTGTGAAAAACACCACATTCCTAACCAAGATGCCTTGCATACACTAACGGTAGGAACACCAAAAGAAAAGCTAGTTCCAGCTGCTGAGAATTATCTCCCCTGACACATTACACCAATCAATAGCTGGTTTTCATTTGCTCACATTCTTAAAACCATACTGTTTTGAAGTGGAATGTATAAAAAGGTACAAAAAATAGTTTCAGGGTCCAAGATGCAAAATAATGCTAAGAAAATGAAATTTAAAGATAATTCCAGAAATAATGACAAATAGGGGAAAAAAAAAAAAAGGCTGGCAGGATATTTTCACTTTCTTCAAGAAGTACTGCACAGACGGAGCAGTTCCATAAGTAAGAATTTAATCAACCCGATACAGTTCAAAATCCTAAAATGGGATTTCATAAAACCCCTGCAATAAACTGAGCTAACAATGCAAAGGATTTGTCTGAAAAAAGGAGTTTATTTGAAAAACACTGAAAAACTATTATTAAGAAATTACTTTTCCTCTCTACGTTAACCTATTTACATATACTATATATGTATACACACACATATACAGAGTTATAATTTTAGTTGTGCATTACTATAATGAATCCGTAGAACTATGTATTGTACAACAACTTGGTTTAAGGTTTTGCATTTCTTGGATGTAATACAGTCTTTTTTGGTCTGAAATTGTCTAAAAATTAAGCGTGTGTAAGACAGGTTATCTCAATGCATTGCTAATAATTTCCTGTAGACACTGTTATTCACGTTAGTAGAGCACGTAGCCCTTCTACTACCGGTAGACATTGACTGGCCACTGCTGTTACTACTGTTAGGATCTAAAGTCTTTTTACAGCGGAATAGGCTGAAAAGTTGTCTCTGATACTGAGAAGAAGCATAGTAGTAAATAAAGGGGTCAATGCAACAGCTCATGCTGCTGATACAAACACAGAGTAGATAGGCAAAGTAGAGATACTCTAAGCTGTTGTCATAAGAAAAATGGATATAATGAATTAATAGAAGGACATTTGTTGGTCCAAAGCAAATAACAAAAACAGAAAAAACAGCCACACACAAAAGCATTGCACGTGTCTTCTTATTTTGTTGTGCAACAATGGTAGAAGAACTAAGACATCGAATGATACACACGTAACAGACAGTAGAAATTATAAATGGCACTACAAAAAACACAGAAGAGAAGATGGAGAAGAAGTGGAGGTAATAGCCATGAAGTTCAGACTCTCTTAGCACATCATGGCACGTAGTTATATTTAACTTGGGTATTTCCATTGTTTGCTCTCTGATGAGAAAAGGTATAACCCCAGTTATTGCTACAAGCCATATGACGAAACAAATCAGTGAGGCACGTGTTAATGTACGCCATCCAAGAGACTGCATGGGATACACCACTGCTAAGAAGCGATCAAAGCTTATGCTCGTCATAAGCATTATGGAACAGTACATGTTACAGTAGAAGGCAGCAGTGATGAAACGGCACATTTGAGGTCCAAAAGCCCAGTCGTTTCCAGAAAAGTGATAAGCGATCTTAAAAGGAAGCACGCTTACAAACAAGACATCCGCAAGGGCCAAATTCAGCATGTATACTACAGCTGGTTTTTCAATTTTCATTTTTTTCAGAAATACGAGTATCGCTGTAATGTTCAGAGGGAGACTCAGCACAAGCACTAAGGTGTAAACTGAAGGAACAAAACGCGTCAGCCACGGACTAGTGAGGTATCTTGCTGTTTGCACTGATATAGTTCGTTGTTCACGTAGGAGCGATCCAGTCTGATTGGCTCCTGATCCGACTTCTGAGTCATTTTCAGTATCACCTTCAGTAGGTATAGGGTCATCCTGGTGATTTACGAAGGAGACCACAAAACTTCTGGCCCGTGGTATGCTGCTGTTATATGGCAAGGCTGAAAAATAAGTAAGTATAAAGATTAATAAGCAAATATGTACATGCTATGAGGAAGCAAAAACATCTTTCAAAAAGGAAAGCTAAGATCATATTAGCAACACAAAATAATATGGTTAATTCCTGATTCAAAGCGCAGACTGCCCACAGATGTTAGTCCAGCCCTTTTTGTTTTAGCTCCTGTTACAAGTTTGGGTAAGATGTCCTTCTTTGTCTCCTATCTCTTAGTTTGGAAGCTTTTTATGATAGGCACTCTATCTGTGCTTAAGGACCCGATCTCATCTATGTTCTCTTTGGGCTACTTCAACACAAATACAACAGTAAATTTGCCACTCTTAAACCCTTCATACAGTTTCTAAGAAATGAGATGCTGGGATAAATCCTGGTATTCATACACAAAATTCTTCTTAGAAATACTCACCACCAAAGTAACAAAAAGTTAAAGTGCAATTAAAACATGAAATTACTGAGATATTTCTCTGCTCTGGAGACATCCTGACAGCCCCCATCAAGACAGATGGCAGAAGTCTGCATGCAGTTTTCAAGGTGGACATGGATCAACCTTTTGCTCACATCAGACAGGTAGCCACAGATTGCACTGAAACATTTCCCCAGTTCTACTTATCCTACCCTACAGTGTGCATCATTGAGGACAGCATGTGTCCAGTGTGCCCTCAGGGCACTTCTGAAATCTGCCACTAGTGTTTCCTCTATGGTGGGGTCTTCTGCAGCATGGTTCGGTGGCTGTGACTGAGAAGAAAAGTCTCAGGACAAGGTACCTCTGCTTTTTGAATGTACCTGTAATGAGTTTGGAATTTAGCATTACAAAATGTTGAATGTGTGGTATGGGTTTATTTATGTAAAAAAACCCCACAAACAATTAAAAGAGCTACTTCAGACATTATTTCAGAAAAGTTGTTTGTAGGGAGGCTTATTTTGGAAGACTGTAGTTTTCAGCTTCAGCTTAATGTAGTTAGGCATAGGATAAATTCAAACATATTATGGGCAGACAGAAGTGACAAGAGTTACTACTACTTAAGTAATCATTCATCTACTTAGCTGTGCAACTGACCCTTTGTTGAATCCTAGGCAACTGAAATAAAAATGAAGGTGTGTTCACTTAAATCAGTGAGCTGGAAGTACATAGGCATGATTCATCCATCTGAGATGCTATTTGTTAGAAGTAATTATTTGTTCTACAGTAATTCAAACCATTTTCTTATGCAGATGAGAACAAAAGCATCCGAAGGAGGCAGATGGCAAAGAGAGGAGTGGCTGCAGCTTTAAGCAGGCAGTTACCATCCTTTGTGTGCAGGCTGTGTGAGAAGGGCCCTGCCCAGCTTGAATTTTGGTGAAATTCAGACTTGAATATGGGGGGAGATCAGAGGAGTGGTAGGGAAATTTGGTGATTTTTTAAAGCTGCTGTGCTGTATGTATCATGCTGTGTCACAGAAGCATTCTGGGGGCAGAGGGGACAAAAGAGGGGAAGTGTCTGAGATAATGATTTTTGTACGCAAAGTGACTAGATTGCAATTTCTGCAGGCCAGAAAAAAAGAGGCTGGATGAGAATTTGAGCCTGGGAGCTTGTTGCATAGACTGCAGTGGGAACAATTTAGTACTTACACTGAAACCCAAATGTACAGAAGTATGTGAGGTTCAGTGTTCGCACAGGAGGGCACTAAACCAATTTATACATGGGTCTACTCTGACATCTAAAAGAGAATACTAACAAAAAGCAAAACTATAGATCCTTAATCTTTAACCTTACTTTAAAAGTTTAGTCCAAGCAGTTGGGTGGCTCAAGGAGTCAGCTCCTAGTTTAGCAGTTCAGGTGCAGCACAAGTTATATGTAACACCTCTAACCAGTCTGTGGCCAAGATTCATCTGTTTGCCTGTGGCTGGCATCGAATAGTTAGATGATTTCCAGTACTTAATGATCATTGCAATAGAAATCTGTCACAGCTGACACCATCAGTATTCACCTCTTTGGGGAGGATTGTAATTATACTTGAATGAAAAAAACCCTAATTTTTCATGCCCAGAAGCAAGTCTCCATGGTAAAAACATTAGTAAGAGTCACAAAAAAGCTTGAACAGTACCTCTGCTATCTCCAGTACATACAAGTTCTATGAATTCAAGACTTTGAATGCTGTGAATATATATTTCTTCCACTGACATTTCTAAAATGGAAAATTTCTGAAATGGGAGACAATGACTATCCTAGTCCCCACAAGTCTACATGTCCTTCTTGGTCTCTCCACCACTGAAGAACAGTGTAGAGAACTAAATGAAGAGGTGACATGGCTTCATGTGAGGAAGGCATGTTTTGGGGAGCACAGGTATAAATGGACTTGATGAGAGGGACGGTAAACCTGTGTCTAGAGTCGGGAGCTGTATTGCCAAGATGGCCTCTGCATGACATGGTAACTGAAGTGCTTCCAGCAAGCACCTCTCCCATCCCCGTATCTCTGAACTTTGAAGGGCTTTGCCTGTGCTGCCTCACCTGAGCTAGCAGTGCTGCAGTGAAGCCACAGGGGAAGTGCTTCAGTGCCTCACTTTTTGAGGACCAGCGAGCAAACCAGCCACTGACCCTTAATGACTGAGGTTAAGCCACTTAATGTGGAAGCGCTTGGTGGAAACCTAACCCATTTCTCGTCAGTGACTCCTAACTTAGAGCAGTATGAAAATAGGCTAAAGAAAAAAAATGATGATTGGGCCAGTTACCTTTTATTGACTACTGACCTTTGTCTTAGCTATTGCTTATAGTTAACTCGAACATTGCTAATAATTTGAATTATATCCTGAATTCTTGGAGCTAACTTATTTACAGCTTTCTTAGATGAAAGGATTTAGAGTCTGCATTACTCCATTATCAAACTTTTCAAAAAGTAGAATCCTATTACAGTAATTCAGGACATTTCATAAATAATTTTAGTTTAGTTAAAATTCTCTGGAATAATACTTTAACTTGGTGAAAATTACATGTTCTTTCTATAAACAAAGACTTTCTAAGTTCAGAGTTGAACTCAGCCTTGATGCTGTGTCCTGTGCTCAGTCCATGTCTCCCACTTTAAACTTAAAATGACATGAGGTACTACTTGAAAGCCAGCTCTATGGAAAAATGCAATGAGACCTCGAACTTGCTATTTCTTTGCCACTTGATAATATAGAGAGTGGGAATTTAAGCTTTCTTGATGGAATTCAATTTAATTTTCATTTAAAAGATTGATAGCCACATATCAGTTGTTTTTCCTTTGCAAAGCTGTTTGTGTGTTTGCATGACATAGTGTCTGTGTATTATTAGAAAAAACAATAGTGCACTTCTGAAACAGAAAAGAAGATAGTTACTGTCCTGAGGTTCTGGTTTCCTTTTGTGTCAGTGTTTATTTGAAAAAGTCAATGATCAGAGATTTATACACAGAAGGTAAGAGAATGAAATGATGTCATATTATTTCAAAAGATGTTAATGAACCTTGACAATAAACATAAAGGTCAGTAACAGGAAACAGGCATTACATATAAGCTGGGATAGTACCAGACAGACAATACAGTAGCTCTACAGAAAAGGTTTTAAAACTACTCTTACATAGCTACAGCTCTACCAGAATCTGTCAGATGTTACTTTCTAGCTGTTTTAAAGCTGTAGATACTATTTGTCTCTAAAACTTATTTCACTACAGCTTAAGTAATTTTTAATAATAAAAATAATCTGTTAGGAAAACAGAGGTAAAGCTTGTATAATGATCATAAATGTTCAAACAGTCATACTATTTTTGCTAGACTGTCACCTGATCCATTTGGAAGAGGTCACTCCTGGTGGATTACTATTCTTATGACTAATAGTATTCTCATTGCTGATATGACAGAGTTAACAGCTATATCAAAGTACTTGTAAAATATAAATAGGTATGAAAGAACAAGACTAAAAAACTAAGAACAAAGAAAGGGCGGGATAAAGCACTGAGGTTTTATCCTCGTGGTGTGTAGTCAGGACACTGAACAATCTATGTTCTTCTTCTTCTTCCAATAAGGACTTTGAAAGGCAAAAATTACATAGAATCAGTACAATACTCCAATTGCCTGAGGTTTTCTTTTACTGCCTGTGGTCTTTGCACTGATTCTCCAACAAGGACATAGAGAAATGACATAGAAATCTCAGTAAGTTTGGGATTGTTTGATTTTAACAATCTATACTGTGCTCTTTCCCATCAAGTACTACATATTGTTGGTCTCACGATCAGCATATGCATATTCTGCTCTAACCTGAAAGACATTGCTTTTTTTTTTTTTTTACACAAAGCTCTTAAAAAATTTCCTTTCATGTCTACTTTCTAGCGAGAGGCTACTGCACATTCTGTTCTGTGAAAGAAGTAGAGAGCTAAAAATATAATGGCTTCAACGAATCTTAAAAGGCATTCTTAAGCTCCAGAAGAAAATTTCAAAATATTTCTGTAGACCCATAAATCTGCACAGGATGTTACAAACCAGCCACGCTCATGTCCCAAGGGCTATTTTTGTGAGGTGGAAAACTAAAGATTGGGCTCCTACGCCAACCAATTAAATATGTTCCCTATGTGCTGCTGGACAACTAATACTGATTTCTGGGCATTACTGATGACAGCTGCACCCATACTGGTGGCTTATAGCAAAAAGCCAGTTCCTCTTATCTCCCCTTTGTATAATCCACAGTGATAAGCATCTAGAATCTAAATTACTCAATGGCCCATAAATTAGGTACTCACAGGCAGAATGTGAAGTGCATGCTAGATATGTTTATAAACAAGGTAAGACACAATCTTGTAGGACAATTAGTTGCCTTTGTAAAAATAAACACCATATTGTCTTTAAAAAAAAATTCTTTAGCCTACATCTCTGTTTATACAGAATCCATTATTATATTACATGAGTGATGTTACAACAATTTGAACACATTTTCCTCAAGTATTGTGTTCTTGCAACCAGATGCCTGCTCCGTTTTGCTTTCCTTTCTCAATTGCTTTC